GGGGGGGAGGGGGGGGGGGGGGGAGGTTGGGATGGTTGTGAGAGTGGCGGGTCTTCGCAAGGGATGCTAACGACGCAGGACAGACAGGCAAGAGAAAGGGAGAATGACGACTGATCGACAAGTGAGGCTGAGAGTTAGTGTGTAGGCAACAGACAGGATGCATGGTTGGCAAACTGGTCTTTGATATCTCCAATCCTAACTACAGGAAATGCAATGAAATGATGTGACAACGGCACATGTCATGTCCAGGACAAGGTATGTTTATTTCATCAACAGGGTGGAAAGAAAGAAACACAAAACTAAATAGTGACAACAAAATGAATATTTTGTGCAAGTAATTATAAAGGCAACATGCCTTCATGAGGGTCGCACCAGTCTTGACTAGTTAATAATGACCTCTGTGAGAAGCACGTAGAAAAACTACGTGCCTCACCTCAAGACGTGACAAAGTAACTACCAAGCCATTTTTATGGAGGATTCTGCATCTCTCCCAGATGGGGAGAGGGTCGCAGCTGGAGTGGGTGAACTTGATGAACAGGGAATGAACCAAAACTGGTCCAGGAAAGCCTGTTCATAAATAGCAATGTACATCATGTTCACGGAAGAGATGCTTCAACATCCACTGCCATTGTTTAGGCCCAACCCTAATGAACCGGTTTGATATTTCTACAGTGCATGCGCCAAACCGAAGCATATCCGAGGTCATTCGGGAACAGCAGTATGCGTGAGAGTGATTGTCTGCCCTATTTGTGCCATTCAGGGTGGCCATGCACCACCTCACACGCGAGCTTTGCTCCAGAAAGACCTGGCCAGTTTGAAATACTCAACTGGCTCATTCAACATTTACTGAGGGGCAACATTGTTAAGCCAACATGTTGATCGCCATGGCATGCACATTGCCAATCACCAGTGTCTATTCCCTGATCACAAAGCCCCACTCACTCTCAAAAAGGAGCTCCTCCCGCCAAAGGGGTGCCACAGGTCTGCCAGAGTGTTTAGTAGTGGACACCACTATGCCAATCATGCATTGTT